GGGCGCAGTCGGGGAGCGGAGCGCAGCAGCAGCCATGCCGGTGGACCTGGGGCTGTGGAGCGGGCCGCTGAGCCTCACCGAGGGGGCGCAGACGCCCGCGCAGCCGCTGCGGGTCAAGTATGGCTCCGTGGAGATAGACGAGCTGGGCAAGGTGCTCACACCCACTCAGGTGAGCAGGGCTCGGCCCCGCGTTTGGGGGTGTGGCAAAATGGCGGGAGGCGGCCGGGCCTCTTGCGCCTTCGCTCTGGCAGCCCCCATCGGAGCCTCACCGGGTGCGGGGGGAAGAGAGAGGTGCCCTGCTTTGCCGTCGACTCTTGTACGGGGGCGGCGCGGTCAGGCCTGCCTCCGTGCCGCAGGAGAAATCACGGCGGCTCGCGTAGGCTGGGTGCGAGCTGGCACGAATGGCCTTGAACTCCTCGGGTGTTGCTGCCTGCGCTGGTCACGCGTGGCCTCCATGTGCGGTGCAGCTGGCTGGCGCAGGCTGCGTGGTGCAGGCAGCGGGGCTGGCTGCTCGTGCTAACGCCGTCATCCCTCCAGGTCCAGCATCGCCCCACCAGCATCGAGTGGGATGGCTGTGATCCCCAGAAGCTTTACACCCTGGTTCTCACAGACCCAGATGCTCCCAGTAGGAAGGACCCAAAGTTCAGGTAATGGGGGTGAGCAACTGCCTATCTTGCCTGGGGAAAATGGAGCATCTGTCTTGGTCGAGCAAAGGCTTAGAAGGAGGTTGGGAATGTGCTCTGCCTAAGGTGCAGCAGTGAGTCTGTGGCTTGGGGTAGAAACAGCGCCCTTGCGTCTCTCCTTGAGACAGGGACAGCACAGGGAGGAGCAGCTGCTTTTGCCAGGGGTGTTCAGAAGTCTGTTGTAGCTTGGAGAAGCACAGCATCTGCTGCTCGCTCTAATTTGGCATGTGTGTGAGTTGGAATTAGGTCTGTCTGTGCTAGCAGTGGAGTCTTAAACCTGGGACCAGCTCACCTTTCTCAAATCAGGCTCAGAAGCATATGGAATACCCACTCTTAGGGGTCAGGCTCTGGGTTTCCCAGAGCTGTAAGGCAGGATGACAGAGCTGGTTTTGACAGGCTCTGCATCCTGAAGGAGGCAGTACCTGCTCTAGGACTGGTGCTTTTTGTGTTTGGCAAACCAGGAGTGGCAGCTGCTAGCTTCAGTTACCCTGCACTGACAGCCTTACGGAAAAGCAGCAGCTTGGAGTAATGAAGGGTCTTAGCTGGGGCTGTGATGCAGCCTGATTGTTTTTTGCCTTCTCCTTTCAGGGAATGGCATCACTTCCTGGTGACCAACATGAAAGGCAACAATGTGGGGAGTGGGACTGTGCTGTCAGATTACGTCGGCTCCGGACCTCCCAAAGGAACAGGTCGGTACCTGGCTGCAGCAGTTCCCGTGCTCTGAGCACAGCGGTGCCGCGTGGATCAAATGCGGTGCACAGGAGAGGGTGGGGAGGCCTGCAGAAAACTGGCCACCTGCTTGGTGCGTGCCGTGCTGCGGAAACAACCCACGCAGGAATGCTTGCGGCTGCACGTAGCCATGGCCAGCGTGAGCATGTATCACCACTGTCCCCTTGCTGTCTGGTGGCAGGCCTGTGCTGTTCTGCCTGTAGCTGGTAGGCAGTGTTGCCCAGCAAGGGGAGCACTAGCTTAGGCGGGACACGAGCCATTCAAGCATATCTATCTAGTGCATCTTCTCTAAGCTCCTTTAGCTCCATCATGCTTAGCCTTCTTATTTCTGGAGAACAATAGTAGGAAGCGCCAGCACGTCCCAGGTGAGCACAGGCTTCTGTTTCCCTGTGCTCCTGGAGTCACTTCAGAACAAACCTTAAACCCAGGAATTGCAGGTGACTGGCACTTGTAACGCTGTCTCCTCCCCGCAGGGCTGCATGTCTTCTCTAAGCTCCTTTAGCTCCATCATGCTTAGCCTTCTTATTTCTGGAGAACAATAGTAGGAAGCGCCAGCACGTCCCAGGTGAGCACAGGCTTCTGTTTCCCTGTGCTCCTGGAGTCACTTCAGAACAAACCTTAAACCCAGGAATTGCAGGTGACTGGCACTTGTAACGCTGTCTCCTCCCCGCAGGGCTGCACCGCTATGTGTGGCTGGTGTATGAGCAGCCGAAGCAGCTGACCTGCAACGAGCCCATCCTCACTAATCGCTCTGGTGACAAACGAGGGAAGTTCAAGGTGACTTCTTTCCGCAGCAAGTATGAGCTGGGGGTGCCGGTGGCTGGCACTTGCTACCAGGCGGAGTGGGATGACTATGTGCCGAAGCTCTATGAGCAGCTGTCGGGGAAGTAGGGTGAGGGGACCTGAAGAAGCACTGTGCAGCACCTCCTGCATGCCTGGAGACCAGGCTGGTCAGAGCATGTCACTGTAGTTTTGTTTGATTAGTGAGTTGAACCCAACTGTTCCCGCACTGATCGCTGGAACTGTAACCCTGTCGCTGTCCCTGGCCTGAACCTGCTTCTGTGTCAGTGTGGTCCAGACCTGTGCTGTGCTTCGGCTGACTCCCATAGGTACAGGCAATCGCTAGCTAGATGAGCTTCTGACAAGGTGTCCTTGTGAGGGCCACCCCCTCCAGGCTGACCTGCTTAAGGGAAACCAAAGCCTTTGCGAATTAGTGTCACTTCAGAGTCTCTGCTGTGCTGAAATGGTATTATGTGGCAATGGTGTTAGTACAGAACCACTTCTGTGTAGTCTCCCCTTTCCAGGAGAGGAGAGGGCAGTCTAAGGGAAACTCCCCTTTGGCCAGTGCCTCCACTTCACTGAAGTGAACCACTAAAGTAGTGAAGGGATAGCTGGTAGGAGGCAGGGAAGCTAATTTATAGCACTACCTTCTGTTCTCTGTGGCCACTCAAAGCTGAGAGACCACTTCATTTTGTTCAAGTTCTGTTGTGACCTGATGTTAATGTGCTGTTTGCTCACAGTGCAATTAAAAACTTAACCAAGGTGGATGGTGTGGTTGTCTTCTTGGGGGACGAGGGGAGTGCTTACAGGAGCAGCGTGGTGTCATCGGGTTCCTTTCCTCCTCCTGCTGTGGAGGCTGGAGCCTCTGACAGGAGTTCCACCGCCCTGGCTGTGCTGCCTGAAATAAGGCTGATGCCGGAGGAACGCAGCTCAAAGCAGTCATGTCTTTCTATCCAACAACCTACCTTGTACAAAGTTAAATCTGCTCACCTCGAGGTGCAGCTTGCCGGCACAGTGAAGGTTCACAGCCAAGGGATTGCTGGCGGGCTGGCTTTAGAAATTCAGAGAGGACACTTCTTTTTCCAGGGTGTTTCTGAAGCCATCTCACTCATCACCAGCAGGGTAATTTATCCCCTGAAAACCTCCTGTCACCTGTTACCAGCCTTGACATTCCTCGCAGCTGATGGGGTCTGCCCTGTGCCTTGGCCAGCTGTGGGACAGCAGAGCCAGCTGTTAAGGAGCCCTTCCACCCCCTCTGACAGCCTCCCCGTGGCTGAGGGAGCCCAGTGCCTTTAGCCCATGTTTGGCAGCTGGCAGAGGAGCCAGTCCCATGGGATCTCCCCACACACCAAGCCTCAGGCGTGGTGCTCCCTGGAGGCCTCTGTCCCTCCACCCAGCAGGTGCTGCTCTGCAGGAGCCCACACCACCGCAGCTGAACCCCGATGGCGGATTTCAGCTCCCGTGAGAAGCATCGCCAGCTTTACTGACCTGAAGCCACTTCCCAGCCAAAGCTGCAGGGTCCCAAGTTGTTTTCCTGATCCTCCGACAGCTTGCAGTGAGGCCTGGCGGTGTCTCCTAAGCGCTTAAAGCGGAAAACGAAGCTTTGGTCCAGTCTGACATCTTTAAGAGGTTAAAAAGGATGAAGCCAATGTAATTCTACTTCACAGAACTAGAAGCCTTCCCCCTTTTTTAAACTACTTCCTTTCTCAAAGGTCTGCACCCAAGTGGTCTGAGAAACAGGTATCAAAAACCTCAACATGCTGCAGCAAGGCCCTGTAAAATTCAGAGTGACTGTTACTAAGAAAGGTGGTTGGTTTCTGCCCCAGGGTAGTTTTTCAACCCAGCCATTAAAACATTTAAAAGAGGACTGACAGTTTTTCAGGAAAACATCCCCAACTGAAGACTAAACGCATCGGGGGGGGTGTGCTTGAACAGCTGTACCGCACTGCGCTCGGCAAGGGCTGATCCACCTTGGGCCTTCTCAGGCTGCAAGCAGGACATAAAAAAATAAGCCACGACCCATTAGCCTGAAAACCTCCGCTGCCAAGAAAACCAGGGTTGGAACGAAGCCGAAGCCCCAGAGGTTCCTCCGGCCCCGCCAGCGCAGCCCCAGGCTGACGGACGGGGCCGGAGGGACACCTCACCCCTTCGTGCATCCGCAAGAGGTGTGCTGGAATGGGTCACCTCCCCTCTTCCCACAATGAGACAGCGAGGCGTTGTGATGAACACTTTTATTTACAAATATAATTAAAAGCTCTGACAGTTATTCATGCTCTTCCTTGGAACCTGAAAAATGTTTTTGTTGTTTTGTTGGTTTTTTCCTTTTTTTTTTTTTAAAGTGCATGCAAAAGAAGTAAAGCCTTTTTTTTTTATCTTTTTATTGTAAGAAAATACACAGTTTGAAAGTGTGAATAATGCAATATTTATGACCAAGATCATGGGGTTGGGGGTGGACTTGGGGGAGGAACAACAAAAAGGGCTGGGGATGATCTGACAGACAGCGTTGAACTCCAAGTACTGAACCGGAGAGTGGGGGGGGTGGCTGGGAGCAGGAGGGAGGGGGGGAAAGAAGTAAAAAAATTTTTGATCAGAGAAACAGTTAAAATACAATATGAAAATAAGTAAAAGCTCTCCTTAAATTCCTTCTATACACAAAATACACGATTTGACAAAGCCCAATTTGTGCTACTGGGATCCTGTGGGCTCATTTAAGTGTATTCACATTCTCTGCGACAGCAGAAAATGATTATGATACAATCAAGAATATGCCGAGGACCGAGGTCTCATCCCCGCCTCGCCTGGCATGGTTCTTCTAAAAATCACCAGATCTTCGCCCCGCCCCCTCCCCACCCCAAAAAAGTAATAATATGTCACCACTGATATGTACATCACGATTAAGTTTTTTTCTGTAAAATGTATCAAATTTTTCAATCTTTAATAAAATTTTTTTATTATTTAATTATTCCTGATGAATAAATACCAAAAAAATAAAAATAAAATAAAATTATGCAGCAGCTAGTTAAGGTAAGGCTGCGGATTTAGTCTCTCTCCCCCTGGGTTTGTAGGTATCATTTGATTATTATTTTTTTTGCTTGTACTTTCATTGATTGGTGGTAAAATGAGTGATTGCTCAAAAGCAACATACATCCACTTTTTTTTTTTTTCTCCATTAAAATTGTCTCCAAAGTTTTCACTGAAACATTTTTAATCATTGCACAGAGACATCAATACTGTGACATACTATGGAAAAGACCGCCAAGGAGCTGTCCTGCACCGGGACTTGACACAGGGGGAAAGGGGGCCCCTGATGGAGTAAGAATATACAGGCACTAGTCCGACACGATGTCAGTAAGAGAGACAGAAAGAGAGAGAGCACGCCCGTTAACATGGGGAATGTTGGTTTTGCAAGTTTTATCATTATTTTGTTTGCTTTTTGTCTTTTGTTTTTGAATGGCAAAGAAATTTAATCTCATCTATAGTCCTCCTTGGGGTACTCTAACGTGACCAAATTCCCAAAGCCCATTCGCAAGCTCTCCATGTCAAACGTTTCAATCTCTCGCTCCTGCCTTTCCAACAGAAACTTTATCCTCTCGCTGCGTTCCTTCTGGAGGGCGGCTAGCTCCTCTTCGATCTGAAAGAAGCACAGTCGGCAGCCCCTTAGCAGAGCACGACCGCCCCGGGTACGGCAGCTCCCGGCCGGGTGGCACCGGGTGCGCCGTGCCGACCCCACGTCCGAGGCGAGATCGACACGTGTAACCAGGTACCCCCCTGGCAGCCCACCCAAAACATACCTTTTGTTCAAGATGCGCCCTGCGCAGCGACACCCGTTGCTCCAGCTTCTGGAGTTCTCTTTCATGCTGTGCTTCTGTCTGCATCTTAATTTTGCTCTGGTATGCGTTGAGCAGCTCCATCTCCTGCTGGAGTTGCAGTCTCAGGGCTTGGCATTCTGCTTCTTGGGCCTCATCCAGCCGTAGCTGTAAGATCGTTGGGAAAACAACATTCAAACCTCCGCTAGTAATTTCTCTGCTCCGACACTACTGACATGCCGTTCTCCCTTCTCAAAGCCGGGGAGCCTTTGGTGCTGGTGGCAGAATGAGAAAGCAGGAAGGGCTTCATAAAACAGCTGCTTCCCCACTCACACATAGGCAGAAGCCTCAGAGAAAATCCAATTCTAAAACCCAGCATGCCAGGGGCAGCGGGGAAAGGATGCGTGTTCTGCGGGATGCTTATTACGAGAGGGGAAGTGCCGCCTGATGCGCTGTTTAAAACCATTGTTATAAACGCAACTGCATCGCTCACCATCCAGCGGCTAGGACAGGAAGAACGCAGCGTGCTGCAAGGACTGATGGCCCGACTGTACCCCACCTCCACGCACCTCGGTGAGGGACCCCCTGCCCAGGGACAGGAGGTGCCGGACGCTGCACCTACCGCTTGTGAGGCCATCATCTCGTTGATGCTCTGCTCATACTGCTCTGCCAGGATGGCGAGCTTCCTCGTCTGCTCGTCCTTCAGACTCTTCAAAATTGTCTTGTGCTCACTCTTTGGAGTTACTTCCAGCTGGTGATTCTTCAGTGCTTTGTACTGCTTAGTTTGCACTTTGCATGTGTCCTGGAACTGCTTTTTGATCTGCATTTCCATAGCCTGCCAAGGAAGGAACGGTGTGAAGAGCACAAAGAGCTCTGGGAATGGAGAGGTTATAGTACATCCAAATGGGCGGGTTGGTGAGAGACAGCCACAGTTCCCCTTGTGCTCTGCGCTGTCTCCTGCCCCTGTACCCGGGTAAGCGGGGTGTGCTTCACACATAGAGCGATCTAACGAGCAGCATCAGCTCAGGCCCTGCTTCAGCACTGACCACGGGCCTGGGCCAGGAACAGGATCCACTAAGCCCTCCACAGCCCAGGGCATTTCCATCTTCTACCCCTGCTTCCTGCAGGTCACCCAGCCCATCACCCTGCCGCCTGCCTCCCAAAAAGCGTTTGCTTTTTCAAGGCCTCCCATTTTGCTACCTCACCGAGGCCTCCACAAGCTGCCTCCCCCGCCTCGATCACGTGCTACATGGAGACTGCAGATCTGAGAACTAGCGAGGGTGTGACAAAGTGAATAAAAGCAATGTGCCTTTTTGGATGTTCAGAGGAGGAACACAAATCTCCCACAACAAGCAGCTCAGAGGTTTCTAATCAACCTGCAGCCAAACTGGGGCAGAGCACAGTGCTCAGCACACCCATGTTCTCTCTCTGTTGACTTTGAAAGCGAGGAAGCATCACCCAACCCCTTTCCAAATCGAGGTTTATAGGCTGACACCAGCAGGGGTCTGAAGCAAGCACAGCTCATCAGAAGCAAATTCTGTAACACTTTGCTAAGGACTAGCCTATTTTTACCCAGCAGCCTCAATTAGCACGGCACTTAAAGAAATCCTCAGTGAGCTCTTTGCTATAATAGCCCACAACTTTCTTACACCAGAGCAGCCCTGCACAAAGGAAAGGGATGCAAGGGAGAGCACACAGTGCTGGTGGAGAATGGTGGTTCTGCAGCACGGATGCTGCACAGAGGAGGCAGCAAGCACACAGACCAGCCTGCCTGGCAGGACAGAGGTTGGAAGAGGAGGAAGGAAAGCTTCCAGCACCTTCAGGTTCTTTGGTTGCTGCCGGAGCTCCATGAAATGCTTCCTGTGCAGCTCCCGCTCTCGCCGCTTGTTGTATTCCAGCTGGTTCTCGAGCTCAGTCTGGTGCTGCAGCCGGATCAGGTCCATTCGCAGCTTCTGCAGCGTGTGCAGCTGCCTGTACTCCAGCTCGCGCGTCGACTCGTCGTGCCGGATCAGCATGGCATGCTCCATTTCCTTCTGGGTCCGCTTCTTGTTTAACTCCTGCACAAGAGGACAGCAGAACACACAACAAAAGCTGAGGAGTGATCCTCTCTGCCCTGAGATTAGTAGTCGAGTTTGCGAGGCTGGGTGTCCTGGTCACTCCTCTAGACGACATCAAGGACTTCCATGTGCCACAGGGAAACACAAACCCAGCAGCATGACGGGAACGCTAACAAAGCGGCCACCTAGCATCCATCCATCCCCCTGTAACTTGTTCCTCTAGCAGCTCCTGGATCACCCAGGGAGTCTCCAGCAGGTGGCACTGGGACCACACGCAAGCCCTCTGCGACTGCTGAGAATCACAGAAGTTTTTAATAAATACATCCTGGGGCGCTCAGAGCTGGGGGGGTCTGGGCTGGGGTGACTGACAAAATCGGGGGCTCTTAAATTACCCTGAGCCCCTGCTAGGCACTGGGAGATGAGGCTTCTCTCGTATCACTTATACTAGAATGGCCAAAGCAGAGGTGAACAGCTCCAACACACCACTTCAGGTAAGAAAAAGAATTTAATCTACCACGGTGTACAGGTGGGTTTTGGCCCCAGGCACAGCACGTTTTTTAAAGTGAGGATACAGCCCAAGCCTCACACAATTTTGCAATGTGCACATAAGAGTTCCTGCGCATGGTGCCCTGCAGTCTAGGAAAACCTTCACTGCGTTACAAGCCAAGGAAGAGGAAGATACCGGATTCTCTCCCTGATTACTGCTAATATTTCTGTCTCAAGGTATCAGCAACAACCTGTGGAGCATGGTGCTGAATCCAGCTCAGTCAAGCAGTGATTACAGCTGTACCCCTTGCTGATATTTGGTGACCTTCACAGATGGTCTGCTGGTACGTCTCAGTTTCAGCTCACAGGTTTACAAACTCATCGCCGTGCTTCATGCTAGACTTAGGCACAGCAGGGAGCTGTACCCCTTGCTGATATTTGGTGACCTTCACAGATGGTCTGCTGGTACGTCTCAGTTTCAGCTCACACAGGTTTACACTCTTCGCCGTGCTTCGTGCTAGACTTAGACAGGCACAGCAGGGGCTGCCTCGCACTACACACAGTGCCCAGCACAGGGAGGGCCCAGTGTTGGCTCAGTCTAACGAGTTGCTGCAGTAGAAGCAAAAAAATCTAATTATTCTGAGTTATTGCTTGCATGTTGTAATCCTGTTGTAATTCTCAACATCAGCACCTGCAAAAAGGCATTTCAGCCTCTTTGGCTGTTACAACTGTGACAAGTTTAAGCCAGGAGGATGGGGAAGGAAACAGGGCCAGGTCTTGTCTCTTCATTCTTAGCCATAAGGATGTTGCACATGTTTACATTTAAGCAAAACTTGCACCTTGACAGCCAAGATCAAAAATTAGCTCTACTGGTGTGCTGAAATCATTTCCCACTTGCGCAAAGGCTGGCAGCACACTGAACAGACAGTACATCAGCCCATGCAGTGAGCTGTGGCACTTGTGCCTTCATCTTGGGACAGGACAGCCAGCCTCTCTTGTGCCCATTCCACACCTGATTTCAGTTCACACAGTGTGAGCAAACAGAGGCACTCCACTTCTCTCAAACACTTTCCAACTTGCACAAAAAGAACCTCTGTGGTTACTTAAAATAGCAAGAAAAAAACATTTTGAAAGTGTTATTTACTTCAGGTGTCTGATCCAGTGAATCTGAACTAGTTAGTAGGGATGTTGTTTTCAGGAAATAAACACTTAGATCACTCTGAAAATTAGGTCTCTTAAGAGCTTAAACGCAGGAGCTCAGAGGAGTGTTTCCTGGTTAAAATACTATGCTAGGTAACTGAATTCTGTTCTCATCCCTGCCACAGAGCTGAGACGCTGTGATAAGGGTGCCCAAGTCTTGACTTTTCACAGTCATTCATTTTCAGGGTGTCCAAGTTGAGATGTCTGGATGTGATTTGCAAAGCAGCTGAGCAGCCCCAGGCACATGTGAAGTCAAGGGCAGCAAAGCTCTGAACAGGTAAAATACAGGGCAATGTTAAGTATGCCAGAAAATTTGATGGTAGCAGAATAAGTAGAATCATAGTACATGATTATTAGAAATTTTTGACCACTCACTCGCTCTCAGCCTTTACTAAAATACCTTCTCATCTGATAGTCTTTATGCAAAAATAACATTCATGAAGAATTCATATACTATAGTGCTGACCACAGAAAAATCTACAAGTGATAATTCTTTCTCCAAAGTGGTATTTGACTACAGGCAGCCTGTAAGGCAAGGGTTAATAACTAATGAGGGAAAGCAAGATGTTGAATAGCTTCTCATTAACAAACTACCGCCCATTCTGTGCACTAATTTGAGCAGAGCCCAATGGAAAAGCAACATCTGATTATTTGAAGACAACCAGAATGCAGACACACAAGAAGACTGTATTTTTGGTATTTCTTACATTTATAGCATTTCATTCTGCAACATTAATATTGTTCTTTTAAGGTTATTACTGGTTTATCACACATATTTCAACGGTGTGAGTTTTCTTTAGCTGATGAGTAGAACTCCTCACGTGATGCTTTCGGCTATCCCACAGCTCTCCCACAGGTGGCCCTGGCACTCAACACGGCACAAACTGCCCCGTGCTGTGAAAGAAGCCCAACAGGATCCCCCAAAATCTAATGCCCAGGAGCTCAGATGAAGCATCTGACCCAGAGTGGGTGGCCCACATCATGTTTCTGTCTGCAAGTCAACTATGCCACCCCTCCTCAGTTAATAAAAGCAGCCACATCTGTGTGGAAAACTATTTCCCAAAACACGTTTCCTACGTTTTTCTCAGTTCTGTTTAGCAACTGGAAACATGAAGATCTAATGTCAGTCAGCAAACTGTTTCATGGACATGAAGCTAAAACAATTAAAGAAATGCTTGGGAAAGAAAGTGAAGAGTGCCATACTTCCCGAATGTTCTGCTGCTCCATCTCGTGCCGCTTGATCATCGTTTTTCTCTTGAAGAAACGGCAGTTTTTGTCATAGTAGAGTCTCTGCTGGCTGAGAAGATGGGCCTCCTCTTCAGCCTGTGTGTGCTGCAGGTTCTCTTTATGTTTGGATATTCTTTCTTGCTTCTCTTTCTTCGGCGTGCTGTGGTCCTCATTCATTTCCTGCATGCATACAGAGTCAAAAACAAGACTTCCCTTAGGATCACAGTGACACAGGACTTGGAGGACCTTCAGTCACTGGCTACTCCTCTGCCATTCAGCTCACAAAAGGACACCAAAATCCTGACTACACCACCAGGTACCAGCAGAATCAGACTCGTCACCTGGCCATGCCCAGCCCTACCGCCTCTAGAGTTGTATTATGACCCACCAAGAGGAGGAGGAAAAAGTGGCCATTAAACACAAACATCTCGGGGGCTAAACAGTGCAGCAATGAAAAGAGCAACACACCACTGCAGGGGAGGCTCTGGCTCTCCAGGAAAGAGAATGGGTCAAACCCCTTGGCTCCCTTCCCAGCTCTGCGCCTGTTTTGCAAAGGAGTCCAGCTTGGGCTTAAGTTCTATTTCAACAGGACTCATGCTCGATTCTCTATCAAATCAGATACCTAACAGGGCCCCCTTGCTATTCATTTTCTCACCTCTACATTCTTAACAGCAAAATTTTGCAATGTGGTGGGGACTCTGTACTTAAGTAATGCAATTTGGGATAGATAAGCTATATACTAAGTTACTTGTTTTTCTAATTCATATAAGCAATCACAGGGCTTTTAGTCAAGTGACATCTAAATGGCTGCTCTAACTGCTTACAGCTTTAGCAAAAAAACAGATGAGGAAAAAGGGGAAGAAGAATTCTCTATGAAGTCCCTTTTTCCCTCATCACCCTTGGCTACAAAGATTCTGCCCTACAGCAAATTGTGAAGGCACCTCTAGCACCCGTAGAGATTATTCTAGAAATGCTGCCAGATGCTCCCAGTTCCTGAAAGTTTACTTGCTGAGAATCTAAATTTGCTTCCAAGCATGACAGTATCCCTTAAACCCCTGGGCTGGCCCAGATTTATCAAAACGAAAGTCTAGCTAATGTTCATTCCACACCCCTTCAGCCCTGAAAATGATGGTTTCTTGCCTCTTTAATCTTTTCCTTGCAAAGCTTGTATTGTTTCTTCTGACTTTCTAAAAAGGTCGCCAGGTCTTTCTTTTGCTGAGCCAAAATCTGTTGCTGGAATTTCTTTTCATCTGCTGCAGCTGCCTTTGCCTGCAAGGCACAGAGAGAAAAAAAAAGAAAAAAAACCAAGCGTGAGGGAGCAGGTACTGAATCCAGCACAAATCAGTCTTCTGTTGTGTGCTTTTTGGTCTGTCGTTCTCCCATCACTGTGCTAGACAAAGCCATGAGCATTCAGCCACATAAAAGCTGCTTGCACAAAAACCCCGTAATACCCACATACACTTAAGAGTTTCCTCATGCTTCTCATCTCTCCACCAAAACCACCCCAGAGGCTAAAACCCCACTAGTTTACTATATGGATGAACGTGTTGACTTTTAAACAAACTAACAGCCGCAAGCTTTGTCACTGCCTCAGCCGTGAGGCAGAAGCTCCCTCCAAGGTCTCCACAGAGTTTGTCCATCTCTTTTAGCCGGCTGTCAGTAGCTACAGTATTGGTCGATGCCAATGGAGTGCCCATCATCCAGAAGGTTGACTTGTAGCTGTGAAGCTATTTCACAAAACTGGCTAGAGCAGCTCCAGACAGTAACCATACAGCGCACTTAAGAACATGGGTTTTAAGCAGTACTTCCACAGCCTTCTCCTAGAGATCTGGTACACACCTCTCCCTCCAATCCTCTTGTACAGCTAGGGAGCCTATAACTCACCTCTTTCTCCATCACAGCCACTTGCTTCTTGGCCAGCTTCTCCAGCTCAATGGACGAGTTGTTGGCATGCGTCTCCACCTCCTTCTGCAGCTTGAGGCGGTGCTCGTCCATCTCGGCCTTCAACTTGTTTTCCAGGGCGATCAGCTGCTTCTGGTGCTGGCGCCGCATCCGCTTATATCCTGACATCTGTTCCCGCAACTCGTTCTCCTGCTCATGCTCATGGATCTGTCTTGTAACCTGATGTCAGGAAAAGGGGAAGAAGTGCTACATGGCCTTCTTCACAGACCAGCTGTCTCCATATTAGCTGCTTACCTGTAAACCAGACCCTGCTTTGCTGTACTCTTAGAAATCAACTTTCAGGGAATGCTGTTCCAGGTTTCAGAGGGTGCTATTGTTTATTATCACAAACCAGGCATAACGTTTCTCTCTCTTGATTTCCACCCCCCCAATCTTTAATGAGAATGTTATGTGCGTTTCCACTAACACAGCAGAGAAATGTCATGTGATGAATAAAGGAAACAGCAGGTTACTTCTGGAAACAAAGGCGGCTGCTAGACAACCTTTTTCAGACACTGGACTCAAATCATGAGGGTGACACGGACTTACAAGACGGCATCCATTTTAAGAAACACCCCAACCCACCCATTCCTTCCTTCCTCCCCAATTCACCACTGTTCCAATTCAGTCCCTCAATACCTATTTTCTGCAACAAGTAGCCTCCTTCAAAATTTCTTCTTAAAATTCAAGAGGATGGCAGACTGAGCTCATTCCCTAACGGAACTGAAAGTTTTCTAACAAGGGAACACTGTTCTGGAACTGTGTGCTCTTAACAAGATTGATCAGATGGTCTAAGCAGATTTTAAACCTTGCTCAGCTGAAACAAACTCACAAGTTCCACATTCATTTCCATGCCTAAGTGCACGCATGTGAAAGGAGGAAAAAACTCCAGTAAGGTGTGCCAAAAATTTTCAGAAGAAAATGCAAATGGTAATGCTTCCATTTCAAAAGAAAAAAGTGTCCAAGACTGAGATTTTTATTTTTTATACAGTCCCAGGAACTTCACATATAAAGATCTGCTGATATTTTATGATAGACCTGGGAACCAAAAGCTGGAGCCCTCAGTACATGTGTAGAGCTGCAGTCCCTGATTCTGTACAAGGGGACCTCTCCCTTTCACACTTAACAAGTATGAAGCAAAGAGCTCAGCCCTTTGAAGGTGATCATTGAAGCTTTATGAACCAACAGTCCTTCCTGCAGTCTGCAGGAGCCCAGCCTTCCTGATGAATTTCTCCACAGCAGTCAAGAGAAAGAACTGGCACCTACTACAGTACTGCTGTCATTGGAAGGCTATTTTTCAGAGATCTTCAAAGTAAGTTCAGATATAGGATGGGATGCACCTACAGACCTGAGAAGGCTCAAGTTCAACAGAGGAAGAGCAGCTGCTTTACCAAGCAGCAAACCAAGCCCACTTGCTGGCAGCCCTGTGCTTCAGGACTAGTAGCTGATAGGAAGCAGCGATCAAGCAAGAGCTCCAAAATCAACAAGCAAGTTTAACAACACAACTGATGTGTTACCCAAGGCAGACAGCATGCTGCCACCTGTCTCAGCTCAAATGCCTACCAACACTTGGGAGGGGTGCGAAGAGGAGGTTAGGAAGAGCCTTGCACAGCCTTCACCTTGAAACAGATTAACAACAATTTACAGTAAATAGTTACCAACCAAGAAATTACAGCCAGAGTCCCAGCACAGAAACAAGATACGAAAGGATGAAGCTACTGAAGTGGACAGCCTCTGTTTTCCCCCCATCCCTTCCAAAGACAACCCCAGAAAGAAAATGAAACATCTAACTGCAAAGAAAACAAAGAACTAGTCTGACTACAGTGCTGTGCCAGACTCCATCACCAGGAAGTGATGATGGGGGGTTCACCACATTAGTGAAGTCAAACATCAACTACGAGGTAAGTGATGATGCATAAATCACATCCTCCTTGTACAAGGAATTTTGGGATGTTATTTAGAAGTTGACTAGATTAAATATATACTTACACCTCAGCAATTGGTGTAACATAGCAGCCTTCAAATGCTTCAGACAAGGTAATGAAACAGACCCAAGCCAGATACCAGGAATATGTGAGACTGTAGAAATGACTACAGAAACACAAACACAGGGCTAGCCCTGTGTATTGCTATAGTTCAAAAGGCTTTTTTTTTTTTTTTAAAGTGTAACAATGACAGCTATACTTTGCAGAAGTTGGTAAGCATTTGTAGGAACTTGCACATTTCAGTCAAGTTCAGCAAGAATAAGAACTCTGACAGAAGCTTCCAGGTAATGAAAGTTTCTCAGAGAAGTCAGCCAAGTAAGAGACAGATGTCAGGTAAGACAGGCAAAACCCCAACATTTCACATACGCCATTTACTACGTTAAATGATATATGACTTGCAGAGAACAGACTTGGTCAGGGACTTGCAGAGGCACAGAGATACGGTAACTACCACGCAGCAGTACCAGATCTTCCTAGATGTGCTATTTTTGAGGCCCAGCCTTTTTGTGAACAGTGGGACGTTCTGCACGGCACACTCCGTTCCAAGAAGTTGGCAGAACAAAGCAAACAGCAAGAGCATAAGAAAAAATGGATCTAAGAATCCACTAGCAATTTTGCCAGTCTCCCTTTGGTCTAATCTCTAATGAGATTTAGAACGTGCACTTATTTACAGAAAAAAAATCATCATTAAACTTTTATCCTTATTTTTTTTGCTGCCTCTGGGCACCCCATTTCCAGTTTTGCTCAGCTTGCCTCTATCAGGACAAGAATTCCATCTCTGAAAGATTTCACATTAGGTCTGGGATATTTATCGCCAACAATAGAATGCAACTACTAATTATAACACTAGCTGATAAAGCCTTCCAGTCACAGCAGAAGATGAGACATTAAAAAGTCAGAGGAAAACAAAACAAGCATTTCATTCCTAAAGACAAGAGAGAAGGAGAATGGTAGACTTGGTGGACATTTTGTAGATTTAATGTCTGCCTGCTCATGCTAAAGACCTCATTTATCACCATAATCTCTAATCAAGACCAACACTCTTCAGAACTCCAGCTTCGAAGACAAGGTCTCCAAATGGTGATCTCAGAGCATGGATGAAATTGTAAGAAATTAACATCGGTTACTGAATATGACCAGTTCAGTACCAGAGAAGTACTTCAGAGTAAGAATGTCAACACGTGAATGAATGAAGGATTATGGTTTTAAAGATGAAGCCCCTAATGAATGAACAGCTTGAGTGGCCATTTTAAAAAGAAAATTTGGGGAAGTTCCAGTAATCACCTTTCTGGTGTTCTTAGGCAAAGGCACTTGGAACTTTACAAAGTATTTCACAAACATAATCCCATAGATTATGATGGGAAAAAAGATGACAACTGAATTGCTCATTGCAAAATTTGTTATCCACATAACCAGAAAACGTCAGGGTGCTTTAAAGCAGAAAACTACAGTTTCCTGAAGGTCTATTTGAAGCATGTAATAATCAATCAGATCATTAGCAGAACCAAAAAACCTGTATAAAACAGAACAGCTTTTATTAAGGTATGACATTTTCTCACTTTCTTATCTCTCTCTATCTTTGGCACGCACAGAACTAAGAAGAGAGATGCCTTTTCCAACCTACTCCCACAGGCAGTTCACTTGCCATAAAATTCAAACTTTCTCTCTTTCACCCCTCCAAGGTTTTTGCTTTACGTAAGGAAGTTGGGCTCAGAACTTCTCCAAAGCAAAGTTCCTTTTGCTACATTGTTTAACCAAAATACCACTCTCCTAAAGGACAGTTATGCTCACCCCTCGATAACCAAATGAAATACTGAGCTCCTCTTTGCTGGACAAGGCAGAGTATTAAGCAAGATACTGCCAGCAGCCTCTCGCAGCAAGAACTTTGAGATGAGAAAGAACAAGTTCAGTATTTTTAGAGCAAAGATCTATAAAGGCAGCAGCCAGATGAGTCCATTAGGAGAAACTCAACCATCTGGAATAAAATGTCATTGCCTCAGCAGAAGAGGGTGCAGGAGAACAGCCATCATGTAAACGTACCTGGTTTTGGAGTCAGACTGCCCGAGTATCATTTTAATGGCCACATCCAGAGAAGCCTGCTCACACGTACCTAGACATTTGGCTTTGCAGACCCAGGATGAGATCACATAATTCGTTTGCTGGCATTTGGATTTCAAAGAGACTGCCAAGGCCTTCGGCAGAGTCCACCTGATCTTTCTATGAAGTTTTAATTATTAGATCATTTCATTTGAAAACTGTAAAAGCAGCTATCGAGGAAATGCATGAGGCGGTGGGGAGTTAAGGGGTCAAGCATGAAAGACATCCAGAAATGCAGATCGATGAATCTCTGCACATATTTAAAAAACACCTTTCCACTTGAAAATGTTGATAGGTGGAATCTTATCAACATGCAGAACCTCTAACCCTTCTTTTTAAACACAGTTTTCTGAGCTTCAAGGCTTAGATTTCCAGTTGTAAGTTTTAATTTATGGATCACTGATAGTCTGCAAAATAATACGGAGATGTAGTAGGTACCTGATCTCCATTTCAGATACTAACTTTCACTGCAACAGCAGAAATACGCAGCGCGTTTTCCACCACTGTTCCAAGCGAGTGATGGTTACTGTTGCCGCAAGAGTGTCATGCAAAACAAGAAAAAAAAAGAAAAAGTGGGGGGGCAGGGGGGAGGTTGGTCTACACAATGACAAAAGAGAAAGGCAGTCCAGGGAAGAGCAACTATTAAAATTGTTGCTTGAATTATGACCAAAGGTAAGCTCCTTCAGCTTAACCACATTTGCTCATTTTTTCTTTTTTTTTTTTTTTTTAACCTGAGTAGTATCAAGGCATCGCTGAAAGACTAGAAAGTTATATTCACAACCTGTTTCTTTGTGGACAGCCCATTTCACTATTTTATCTGGAAGTTTGTCCAGTTTCCTTCTTATTCACGTGATGCTTTTACAGAGCAACAGGGCAGTCCCAGGGCACTGGGACATCTGGAGTGTAGAGCTGCCTCACGTAGTTCTCCTGCCTGTAACCCCTACACTCGCTGAAACTACTTGAGCTTGTTTTTGCAGAGAGATCCAACTTCCAAGTTGAGAGCATCCTTTTAGAAATGCCAGTCTTCCCTCCATCTGCAATATCCCAGTCTAAAGGTGAGTAACAAGGACTTGAGGGCCCAAGACCCTGGACTCCACCAGCAGAAACAGCTGTGAAGCAACGTGAAGAGTCCCCGGCCCCCAGACTCAGGGCTTTTCCTCTATAACACTCCCCTCCTCTCATGTTGGGGGTGGTGTTCAGCAAATCCCACAAGCAGAAGTTTTTACACCCAAATCTCATCCCATATTATTGAATTTGGGGTCAGAACTCCCTTTTTCTGATTCTCTGCAATACAGGCCACCTGATGCTCTCAACTGCATAACCTTTCTGTGCCCAGGGAGCGGTACCCAGCCGCTGAGAAACCAACTGATGGTCAGCAGCAGCGATGTAGGGAACCATCAAAGCATGCTGGTTTGCTTCGTTTTTAATACTGTGGGATCTTGACCACCCATTCATACAGGATTAATTTTTTCAAGATGCCGCTGAAAGAGTAAATTAACACAGAGAGATGAATAAAGTCTGAATTTCTAGTTTCATACTGTAAATTTCAGACATGTTTAGGTCATTCTCCCCATACTAGCTACATGGCTGACCTTGCCCTCCCCACAGATATTTAAGCAGGAGACAAGGGGGCAGGCATGAGAGAAGTTTTCCCTTGGCCAGAAAAGCAGCAGCATTCGGCACCGCTACCCACTGACATCATCCAGCCACCGAGCGGTGATCGAATGCACAGTGATAAAAAAGTGTGCTGACAGCCACGCTGGCACTTCAAACCCCAGCATGTATGCCGGCATTCTTCATATTCTGTGCAATAGGTTTCAACTTAGCATTTTTTCTTCTAGATTTCCATTTTGGAACATGAAGAGGTGGAAATGAAATATTATTAAAGGGAAAGCCCATCACAAGAGTAATTGAAATGAAATAAAATATTTCTGTTGTGAACACAGGGAAACTTCTCCCCCACCACATAACCTCAGAACCTAAGGACACAGTAACACCTCCTGTAGTACCAAGGTGGTGCTTTGGGAACTTCCCTCTATACTGGGAAGGGGATATGTGTGCATATGATGGGGACAACAAAGCTTTTGCATGACACATACTACCACGTGCTTTTCCAAAGGCCTGCTGGCTAACATAGTGAGCTAACGGGTGGGACTTCCCTCTCCCCCAAAAGACACTGTGCTGTGCATGTACTGCTCACCCTAAGCTCACCCTAAGTGTGCACTCTAAGCCCAGACACACTCTGTATCAGAGTACGTTCCACAGAAAACCAAAGAACGAAAAAGTTCTCCAAAAAGCCTACCATCTTCCCCACCCAGTATTAATTTTATCTTTATCATCATTTGGTCACTGAAGCAGAGAGATTTAGCAAATCCAAGTGAATAAGGAATTAAGGTAGACACAGTCCCAGCCCCACAGGAGGCCGCCACAGGATTTAGGAGTGACCTTGGGACATTAGCTGTCTTCCCCAGAGCTTAGAGGGCTGGGAAGACCTCACAGTCCATACCTTCATACCAACGTCTTTCATCAGCTCCCAAGGGGGCCTTGCCATGCAATACCTTCAAGCCACCCATGTAGCCCAGGGATGACATATTCAAGTAAGACAGGAATTATGGACTCTGCTGCTGAAGGCAGGACAGAAGGTGCAGCAGCTTTCCACAGGGAGTAAGAGAATATGAATATATTCAACACACATACCTATTTATCAATCAAACTGTATATATGTTTGGAGTATGGTACTGAAGTCATTCATCATTTCTTCCCTCCAGCCAACCTAACTGGATCCTACTTTTATTTGCTCAGTGCAGGCAACAGTGTTGGTGCTGTAGTGGGTGCATGCACACGCACACACACACATACAAAAGAGAAAAATTCACAAGGCAGAGGGTCTCCAGGAGACCAGAGATCCTGCCTGTGTCAGGTGCGCTGCATGAAGTCCTCTAACGCACACATTTCTAGGACACCCTTTAAATTGGGGGGGAGGAGGGAGGGAAGGGGGAGCAGGGGACACCGGCCTGGGGAGCATTCAGGCTATGGCTACCCAGAAGTACACCTGCAAAAGATGGAACTCAGATGCTCCCCCCAAATCTCAGCCCATGAAGCATCTGGCCAGAAGTCTGTATGCCACAGCATCATTTTACATTTTAACAGCAGCAACAGCAGCAACCACCACACAGAAAAATTTTGGCTACTGGCGCTGCTGCTGCTTTTTCCCTCCACTCAGAACCTTTAGCTATGGTCAACACACACACACACACTGTCCGTCTTGTGCATGTAGAAATCTGAAGCGATTCAGGGGATCAAGAAATGGTGGTATTGAAGGAAAAAACCCACCATTCAGGCAGGGTAAAACAAGAAGGGGAGGGCTCGCTGGTGTAATTTCGGGGTTGGTCTAGGATGATGTCATAGCACTGAGCAAGTGCCATGGCCAAACAGCAGGTACTTCCTAACGCTCCCCGTCCATCTGACCACTAATACCATCGGGCTGATTATTTAAGATTACATTTATTTTAGCTTTAAAAGGCCATTTTTCACTCCTTTCCCTCAAAAAGGTTGCTACCGACCGCAGCCCGTGCGGATGCGAGGTGGGGGAGGCAGCACGACAACTAACTCTTCCGGCACACACCCCTTTCCCTACTACAAAGGCATCCACAGCAATCACATTTGCAATAGTACAAATCTTGATGGATTCATCCCATCCCCCTCCTCTTTGTAAGCCCACAGCCCGCTGTAAGCCCTCTCCGTTATCGCAACCCAGCAATCCTTCCTAGGGATCAAGCTGAAAAATGCAGTCATGGTACAGTTGCTTGAAATAAATGAATGAATGAAAAAACAGCCAGCAGCTCAGCTGGGAAGCAGCAATCTTATTGTTTCAAAACCCATCTGCATCTCCATAGCATTAAAGCGTATTGCACACGAGCACATATACACACTTTATGCACATGCAAATAAATATATTAACAAAAGAGACAGGTGGAAAAGGGGGGAGTGGGGAAATCTGAGATTATATTAACTTCATCCAGGAAAGTGGCTTATTTCACATATACTGGAAATATACACAGAAATTAAGTATATTCTATATTTTACATCTCACACACACAGAGCTAAAATATCTTTCAGTGTAATATCTCGTTGCTATGCCAACCAAAAAAAAAAAATTAGGAGGAAAAAAAAAAATTCCTGACCCCTTTGCAGAGGGAGAGGGGGAGAGAGGAGGTGGGGTGGGGTGGCTGCTTACCAAAGATGCTGATTTGATTGTGGCAAAGCGCTCTCGGTTCCGGTAGTGGAGGGCCTGATTCTGCACTGACTGGGTAGGCCGCACCTCAGGCCTGCGATCCCTGTGGCCCACCTCATCCCTTATAAATACATGATCCTGCAGAAATGGATAAAAACAAGGAGAAAGTCCGGCTGGGCTCTTCCTGCAGCGGCTGCCTCTCTCTCACCCCTCTGTCTGCACAAGCGCCGCTGTTTGAGAGGCATAGTTCAGCTCTCTGCTAGCCCCGGCAGCTCCCACGGTACAAAATGAATAAGCAACACATTGCAGGCTTGGGTTCGGCGTGTCAGCTGATCGCTAGCGGGATGCCTTCTGAATCCCTGGCTGGGTTTTTTTTTTTTTTTTAAACCTCCAGTATTACATATGTGCAAAAAAAAAAAAGACTCAAAAGCATAAAGCGATGCAGAGCAATCGGACTCCTCAGTAAGGTCGGGTTCAAGCACTGCAACCGAGCAATCCCATTAAAAACGTGATTCCCATGTCTAGCAAAGAAGATGCTGTTCCCTTTTAACACAAGAGCAACATTTTGCCTCATTCCCTTTGCCGAGTGGTTCGTCCTCGATAGGGTTTCTTTGTCTCTTGTTTGCTATCTGCTGTGGAGGACAAGCATCCTGGCTAAAACCATGGCAGGCTGGAGAGGACCAGGAAAGCCTCTGTGATCCTCAGCACTCAGGGATCCTGCTTTCCAGTCATGCTCCTGCACAGTTCTAGCACTTTCTCTCCACAGCCCACAAAGGATTTTTTTTTTTTTTTCTCCCCCCTTTTAAAGCAACAGCTCACACGTTTTAGCACAAATGGTTCCCGGTGCAATCTCCCTCTTGCTCCCTGGCAAGGCTTCACGAGGAGCGGCTGTGCATCCGCAAAACGGCGCGTGCAAGTTTTGCAGCGGAACAAAGCTCTCGTCAAGCGTATAGGAGAGACCCTGATCAGAAAGGCTGGCGAAAAACGCCACCACAATCTTGCTAATTGAAATGGTGACTGCCAAAAGTCAGCGCACCCGCAGGCTACGCCTTCAGGAGGGAGCAGCCTTGGGACACCAGGCGTGCCCCGCTGCCTCCCACCGCAGCCTGTCCAGTGGCGCGGGCTCCACAGGGCAGCAGTGATGGTAGCCAGCGTTGGCATATCTGCCACGCTGCCATCTACCACAGTTTCATGACTCCCATGCTCAAGTTCCAGCTCCTAAAAAACTCAAAGGAAAACTGAGATTCTTCCTTAATTAAATCAAGTTTCCAACTGTCAGGGATGCAGAATAAAGGCTGCAAGTGCCTATGCCAAAAGGCAAAGAAGAGATGCCAACCCTTGCAGAGAACGGCTGCCTCTGTGCACCGGGTGTTTGCAGGCGAGCAGAAGCAGCTTTGCCACCCTGCCATGCCAGAGCAGACACCAGTAAGGTCAGAAAGCCCTGTGGTGAGAAACCAGCCGGTATGGAGTAGCATCTCCACCATGACACTGCTGTCGTACTGACGCTCCTTTCCCACTCTGCAGACATTTGTTTCCCTCTCTGCTGTCCTCTGTTTCTAGCTGCTTCTAGTCTGGACCCACGCACATTCAGCTGCTTTCAATATGATTCTGTAAATGATTTCAAGCAAAAGCCAAACAGGTACAGAAATGCTGATACAAAGACTGAACGACATGTTAATTTAAAGTGCTTTAAACCCAATACCTTTTCTCATACCCTTCATTTTGAGCATTTCCGCTCCACGCTCACCTTTCACTAGCCTTTGCACAGAGAGAGCACAATGGCCAAGACCATCACAGAGCCAAGCCTGCACCAGCTCCTCTGTACCCACCCGAGGGAGACAGAACAAGCTAAAACAGTTAAAAAGGACAGTCCTCCATAGAAGTAGTAGGATTACAGAATGTAATAAAAAGTTGCAGTTTCATTTTATATTGGTCATCCTTATACTGGACTTTTTGTTGCACTGTCTTAACAGGGGAAGGCAGTGTTACAGAGGGCAATTACTGGCAATTGGGCTGATCTTAGATTTTCAACTTGTGCACGTTCGGATGACAGGCAGGGCTCTCAGACTTGTGCACTTTCCTAAGAAAAGTATGTTTTAGGCTCTAGAATAGTCATACCAAAAAAATCTTGATTAAACATTTAAAGTTTAACAGTATCACTCAGTTTAATTGGACTCATGGCTTCACTGGACGAATATCAATCCTAAGTTTTCTATAGCTTTACAGCACTCTCACCTATCAAGCAGGTGCAAGAAAGACTGTGAAATACAATCAGAATAACCCAAAGCAGACAGGCTGGCTACTAACATCACCTTTTAGTTTGGTACTTCTACTGATGTGTTTTGGAGCCCTCCGGCACAACAGCCCCCTAGCCAGGCAAGGGGCAGTGCTAGAAGCAACGCTGAACTTGGCCTCTCGCTCTCCAACAAGCAGCTCTGCAGAGATAAACCTGGCTCTTTGGGGCTTGTGCAAACACGGCCTCGTGTGAATGCACTGGTACGAAGCGAGCTGGAGTAAGGGGAAGGGAGTCAGCAACTGCAAAATGGACCTCCTTTGTTACAGGCTGAAACTAGAGCACCTCATATGCAAAATAAAGCTGAACAAAAAACTCCTGTGGTAAAGATCTATACAAGACTTACCCATCTGAACCCATGAAGGACTGAAGAGAAACGATAGTACACTGGAGCTACTATTCCCCTACTGTAGCTATGAAATTAAGATGGAGACAGGACAAATATTACCCATGGTCATACACAAAGCCTGCAGCAGCACATGTGAATGTACAAGGTTCCTAAGGTCTGCTAGCAATACCCCAATCCCTGGACCATCTTCCCTCTCTCCATTACATTAGTATGCCAGGGTGAATGTGAAATATTAAAACCAGAGAAGCAGCAAATCACCGAAAGAGACTTTTAAAACGGGCATTCAGATTTTTTGGAATGCTCCAAAACACCACCTAAAATGACAAGTTGAAATCGTAATTACTTCTTATATGGGAAATTTAATCTGTGGGTTACTTTCTGTTATCTAAGAGGTGGATTCTTAGAGGGCAGATTGTCATCCTGATCGTGTTTTATGGGACTTCTAGTTACTTCAGTGCACATAAGCAGCTCACAGCAGAATCTAATTGCCCTTCAGGAATGTGAATTAACTGCATTCTCCGTTTCAAATTGAGCTGGGCAAGGAATGGGAAAATTCCTTTGCAACAGAGCAAGCAAAAGGACCAATTTCAAGCGGACAAAAAACTCAGTGGCTGTCTTAATCTGTATCTGAGGCTTCTGCATCAGGCAGGCAACCACTATTAACTCTCAAATAGCCCCTGCAATCTTAATAGGCAAAACATTTTTTGGAAAAGCCCCTTAATCTGGGATCTGAGGCTTCTGCATCAGGCAGGCAACCACTATTAACTCTCAAATAGCCCCTGCAACCTTAATAGGCAAAACATTTTTTGGAAAAGCTGTCACGCTAGCAGAAGTAAAAATCACTTGACACGAAGAGTTACCAAATCTAGCAAGCTACACTACCACAGAGACTGCTAGTAAACAGAGACCTCTAAGATAAATAAACCTAAGAGTAGCCATGTCTCCACCAACCTTCCTCAGGTAATGTGACTGATGGCTACTACAACAGACATCTACCTACAAACCCAGAAAACAGATTTCTGCTCTTTTTAGTTTCTTCTCCCAAAAGCTTGCTAAGAGACACTGCAATCATATCTCCTTTCAGATGTTGGTACAAATCAGGAAATTTTGTTTCAAACTTTTAGCTCCAGATTTGTGGGAAACAAAGACGCAAAACTGTCACTTCAGCTCAAGTTACTCAGTAAGTAAAATCTGATCAAAAGCACCCCAGAAACTCATCAAGTTTGGGTCAGGGTATCTCTCAGCCCTAAATCTGCAGTTCAAACATTGGTTTGTTTTTAAAGTAATGTATCTCCTGTGTATATTTCGCTTACCATCTGTTTTCTGTGTTTATTGCAATATTTGCCTTATGAATACAACTTCAGGCATGCTCAGATCATAACTCCCATTAAACCATTAAAATCCTTCTATTTAGGGTCAACAACCTAGAATCTTCAACTTCCTACTAAAGAAATCATTTGTTCTTCTGACTGTATTATCTGCTACATAAACAGTTTTCAGGCTGATCACAACAAATGGGGGTATTTGGCTGGGTGTTGGCTTTGAAATTGCTGATCATATTTGCCGGGACAAAAACTCTCCAACATTTCTACATTATTATCTGATCAGAGAGCTGGTGGAGCTTCCAGTTACTTACGAGATGCTAAAGAGCAAGTCTCTCAAAAACAATGAAAAACCCCAAAAGGCAGGACTCCTACATATATTATGGATTAATAAGCAACCTAAACAAAAAAAAAAAATATATTGTTCTTGTGGAAGTTAATCTCTGGATAAATAGAAATACAGAGCAGCAGTCAGAACATTTGTTCAGACACAAATTGATTCAAGCGGGTTCCAGCTGGATATCTAAATGGCTACCACTGGTGTATTGTCTGAACATCTTACAGTGCTCATGGGTTTCTGCTCAAACCCATGAGTCTTACCCAAGGTCACTCTACCGAGTAAGAACCTGAATTTTGCTCTCTAGAGTCCCATGCCAGTTCTACCACACACTGTCTTTTCATCCTCCTCACTGAAAAAAGGGCTTTACCATCCCCTGCCCCCAACACCAGCGCAACATTTCAGGAATATCTGCTTAACACCGTTGCCATGCATTTTTAAGAGCAACACTAACAGCATGTTGCTAACAGTATCTTCATTTTATGTTCAAGATATTCTGACTAGACTCCTTCCTGATAACACTGATCAGATAATGTTTTGTTTTTAGAGAAAGACATAGCTTGTTCCAAGAAACACTAGGGAAAAAACCCCACACAAACACATTGCTGCAACAAAACTTCCTAGGTGAATAAAATACCTGCTCAGAAGACAATTGGAACAAGCAAGCTATAGAAGCAAATAGAAAACAACTCACTAGGTAGATAGGAGTTGATTTTTTTCTGTAGGAATGAGAATTTTGCCTCAGATTTTAATCAGAGCAAAACCGGGCAGACAGATCTATAAATTGCATTTGATATTTACATTTTTTCAGTATATAACACTGTCATATGGCTGAAG